CCTCAGGCTGAATAGCTCCAGAAATCTGAAGAGAAATTTGATTGTCTAAGGCCTCACCAATCAAGAATGCCCACGAGATGATTACACCTTCTTAAACCAGTCACTGAACTGATCATTCATCTGGGACCTCTGCCCCTAATTTTGCCCTTAAAAATGCATGTGCGGAACATCTGGAGGAGACTGGGTCTTTTCAGCATGAGCTGCCCGCTCTCCTTGCTTTGCAATAAAGCTGTACTTTCCTTCATCACTCCATGTGCCTATAGTTTGGTTTTATAGCCCCTGGGCAAGAGAACCTGATTTGAGTTTGGTTACAATATCAGCATGTAGCATATGGAGCTTCTGAATTGTTTTAGATTGAGAAACCAATAGCAATTGTCGAATAAAAATGTTAGCTATGTATTTCAGAATTAGGTTGGTGTTCTTTTCTTTTATCAATCTGTTACCATGGAACAATATTTATTTCAAAAGCCCTCCAAACTGGGACATTTGATTGCATGATACCAGATTTTCAATGTGTAGAGGAAAAAAAAAAAAGAAGTGAATAATTTTACTCTGGAGGTTAATGAGACTTTCCTTATTTTGTGAGATTCTCTGGAGCAAACTTTCCCAGGAGAATGAGTGGGTTTTGGTGAGAAAAGAATACGCCCTGGCTCTTTGAGAGAGATCCTCACCCACTCCCTGCCTCCTTATAAGATACATGTGACCCCGTCATTTCTGCCAGACTAATTTTGAATTGCATTTCAAACTTTGAAAATATAATTTAAATTTTGAAGTCAAATCTCATAAAAGGTGTCTGCATCACCATTGCTTCCTTTTTTAATTGTATTTTATTTATTATTATTATTATTTTAATTTGATCAGAGAGAGACAGAGAAGGAGAGAGAAGGAAAGTGAGAAAGCAAGCCACCAGGTCCAGGACTTGAACCATGGTTCACTGTGTGGGAGTCCAATGCCTTAACACCATACCACCTGTGGTCCCCTACATCCCATTTCTAACTCTCCACATAGAACTATTAACACTGACAGCAAAAAATCTGTTGACTTCCTCTCACCCATCTCAAATGCTTTCGATGAAATAAGTGTGGTGTGATGTTCCATCTATTAAAATAGGTTCAGAACATTATTTCCTTTGTTATTACTTATATGCTTGTTTTCCTCCCTTTAAAAATTGTTTAATTGGATTTTTTTTCACTATTTGGACTCTTGCATTTGTAATTACAATAATTTGTTTGTCAGAGCTGAAATATTTCTGATGGCTTGGTGTGGTATAATTCTGTTTGGAAAGGCACCACTGTGCTCCAGTGAGGTCCCAGGCCTAGGCAGGAAGCCTCAGCTTGGGACCTTGCAGGGCTGTCACTTGAGTGCATTTTTATTATAATACAGATGTTGATCACATCAGTATTATAAAAGAGAACTTCTGTGGCTCATTTATTTAAAAAAATTCTGAGTAAGTCTTGAATTAATCTTAACTTTGTTTCCAAATACTCTCAGTTTCCTGTTCTCCACTTTCTGACTCTCATAAGATGGGCGAGTGCTGAGCTGCATGGTGTAAAGTCCTTGGTTCTTTGGGTCCAGACCACTAAAATTAGAGTCCTGTCCCTAGGTGCAAAATAAAGCCACAACCACAATAAAAGTAGGCAGAAAGGAGAATTTAGGAAGAAAGAAAGATTTTAGTAAAGAAGTACACCCAGAAGACCTTCAGGTGGGCAGGTTGCTGGGTAGCAACTGCTGCGATTGGAATTGGTTAGGTGTCATTTTATTACAGAGGCGATCGTGAATATTTCATAGCAGGAGGTCTGTCACAGTATCCATGTCCTTTGTTTGAACTACCAGGCTTTCTCCTGCACATGGGCGTCTCTCTTATAGGTGAAGAGTCTGAGGCCTGCGGTGACCTAACCACACATGCCCAGTGTGAGCCGTGATGACAGGAGCATCCCCATTAGGGTGAACCGCCCGATCAGTTTATTGCCCCAGTGGGAATCAGGATGTTGACCAAAATGTCTGGTTGGGTCTTTTGTATTTATGAGGAATGATAAGAGGGAAATTTACAATCATCCCTGTGTGTCTTCCTTAGGTACTGAGGAAGAAACATGGTATTTGTCTCACTTTCCTGGCACTAGGAGTTGGGTGGGAAGAAGGTGTTTTCGTGGAGGGTCTGGTTGTAACTCCTGATGAGCTGTGATTGATGTGACAGGTGTCCTTCTGCTACTCTTTTAGGGCCACCTGCCTCGCACCCTGACCACTCTTACAGAAAGCTCACAAGCCTTTGAAGAAACTGGAATGAGCTGTTATTTTATCAAGGTTTACAAATTAAGTGCTTGATTTTTAATGTATCTTCTACTGTTTTGATTTTCAGATTTTCTTAAGTCACTATTTAAAGATGTGCCTTTTATTGGGTAATGTTAATTCGCAAGTGTAGTAATGTTATTTCACGGCTGTAATGTTACAGGATCATGGTGCAGCACTCTACACAGACGTGAGAAAGGGAAGTCGTTTCCATGGATTTCTGAGTCTGACTGCACAGCCCCAGTGGTGTTGCTATGTCGAAGTGAAGGGCACTTTCTGTGAAGGCCCTTTCAGGGCTGGTCCTTGTATTTTCTCTGAACTGTAAACGCAGTTATGTCACTCTGGAGGCAACAGGCAAACTTACATGTATGCTGTGAGAGGATTCAGCGACTTAACAGAAATTAAAGTCTATGGGAAATAGACATTTCATTTTTAAAAGTAATCCCCATCTTTTCTTTAAGATATAAATTGCTGTTTTGTATTTCGTAACTTAAAGGCAGCTGTTAGTGTGATAGGCAGTTAGTCAGCCATGAGTGGGCAGCCCTAAGAGAAAGCAGAAGGACACATGTCACATCAATCACAATTTATTAGGAGTTACAGTCAGACCCTCCATGAGATGCCTTCTTCCTATCTAGCCCCTGGCATTAGGAAAGTGAGACAAATACTGTTTTCCTTCCTTAGTACCTGAGGAAGACACCCAAGGATGACTTTAAGTTTCTCTCTTATCATCCCTCCTGAATACAAAAAGACCCAACCAAACATTTTGGTCAACATCCTGATTCCCACTGGGGCAATAAACTAATTGGGTAGCCTATCCTAATTAAACATCCTGGCTCACACTGGGCATGCACTGTTAGGTAACCAAATTCCTCAAGTTCTTCACCTGTGGAGAGATGTGCAAGCACAGGAGAAAGCCCACTAATTTCAAAGGACATAGGTAGTGTGACAGACCATTAAATATTCATGATCACCTCTGGTAATAAAAATAACACTTACCAGTTCCAAATGCAGTTGCCACCTGGCAACCTGCCCACCCAAGAGTCTTTTGGGTTACTTCTTTTCTAAAATCTTCCTTTCCTATTAAATTCTCTTTTCTACCTACTTTTATTGTGGTTGTGGCTTTATTTCACACCTAGGGACAGGTTGCTAATTTTAGTGATCTGGACCCACAGAACCAAGGACTTCACAATGCAGCTCAGCACTCTCCTATCCTATGACATTGCAGGAGAACAAAATATGTTTGGAAAGAGGATAAATATATTAAGATAAGCTATTTTTATATTCAATGTGCTGAATATGTTAGACTACTATTTAGTTTGTGAGTAGATGTGATAAAGTACATATTCAGGTGTTTAGTGTATGATTAAGAGTAGGATATAGATTTCTTTGAGTTATTAAATCCATTATGTCTTTTACATAATGGACAAATCAGGTTTTTTTTAAAAAAAAAAAACACACAACTTTTACATAGCTTAGCTTGTATTCTGGTGCTATCAACCTGCAAGAGAAAATACTTTTGCATATACAGGTAAAAGTTTTGCAATTTATGTATATAAAAAATTGTAGGCATTAAAAACACTTTACTGATAAAACATTAAAATAAGATACAATAATACCATCTGTCCACACCATGTTTATGTTCAACGATGCAGGGATTTGCCTCAGGGCCACACCTGTGAGCATTTCAAAACTTGAACTACTGTTTTGCGTGAAAATAATTTACTCTGCTTCCCTTTAGTCTCAGAATGGCTTTGTGATTTTCTTCTTCCTCCCCAGATTTAACTACTTTGATTTTGGAATCTATACTTCCAACATCTCTGTCCCCTGGAAGTGCAAGGTAATTGACTTGTGCTGTCCAGTCACTGAATCTGAGGTACCTGTCACAGTAGCAACAAGAAATTATTACACATAGTGTGATGAAAGAATCCAACTCAGTTTTATACACAGAAATGACAGCGCTGGCCAGCACCCTTGCCCAGCGGGAAAGAACTCCCCTAAAGTACCACCCAGGCAGCCGCCACTTGCAGGCTCCTCTGGTCTGTCTTCAGGCTCTGATTTTGAGTGTCTTCTAAACAAAAAAAAAACCAAAATACTAGTGGTGTGGAGGGAAGCGATTCCAAATAGGCCAGCGATTCCTTTCCCTATTGCTACTGGTGAAATTAGAAGTAAATAGTACAGGGCCCAGCATTTGGCGTGGTAGTTAAGGTGCTAGATTTCCACATGGCTGACTTAAGTTCAAGACCCAGACCCCCCAGCTGCTTGAAAATCACACTGGGCATCTGTGCATGCATGCCTAAAATTGCAGGAGGAACATAGAGGAGAAAGGATTGCAGTGTGGCCATCCTCCTTGGGGGGTGGGGGGATGACTTCTCTATCTCCATTTCTCTGCTAAACACAGATACTCTATGGCAAAAAAACAAAAATCCTAAAAAAAGGATTAAATACTACTAATGCTGCATTTACAGACCATGTGTATGCTTACTTCCAATTTCTTTCCCTTTCAGCAGAACCTTCTCCTTTCTTACTACATATGGAATACAATAAATCAAGGCCTTAAACCCAGGATCTTTAACATAATGTCTTCAATGCCACACGAAGACCTCAAATTTAACTTAACTGAATGCTGTAAACATTAAACATATTTGGTTCCCAGTTTCTCCTTTGTCCTCCCCTCTCCCTCTCCTCCTCCTCTCTGACTCTGGCTGCACCACGCAATGGTGAATTTCACATATGCCACCGAGTTTGTTCTACTCGGGTTCAGAGGGGGCCCAGGCACGCAGACAGCGCTGTTCCTGGTGTTCCTGATCCTGTACGTCGCAGCCGTGGTGGGGAACCTCGGCTTGACGGTCCTGATCGGGGCCTACGCGCACCTGCACACGCCCATGTACGCCCTGCTGCGCAGCCTGTCGGTGCTGGACCTCTGCTACTCGTCCACCATCGCGCCCAGGGCGCTGATCGACTGCCTGAGGCGGGACCGCGCGGTCTCCCTGGCCGGGTGTGCGGCGCAGTTCTTCTTCCTATCTCTCTTCGGTACCACCGAGGCCTTCCTGCTGGCCGCCATGGCCTACGACCGCTTTGTGGCCATCTGCAGCCCTCTGCTGTACCCCGTGCGCATGTCCCCGCGGGTCTGCGCCAGGCTCGTGTCAGGGTCCTACTTCGGGGGCGCAGTAAACGCCGTCACTCAAACGGCGATGACCTTCAGCCTGTCCTTCTGTGGGTCCCTGGAAATCGACGACTTCTTCTGCGATGTGCCGCCCCTCCTGTCCCTGTCGTGCTCGGACACGGCGCTGAACCAGCTGGTGCTCCTGGTCCTGTGCAGCGCGGTCATCGTCGGGGCCCTCCTTGCGATCTCAGCCTCCTACGCCTGCATCCTCGCAGCGGTCCTGCGGGTGCGCTCGGCGCAGGGGCGCGGGAAAGCCTTCTCCACCTGCGCCGCGCACCTGGCGGCCGTGAGCCTGTTCTTCGGCACCGCGTTCTTCATGTACGCGCAGCCCGCCGCCGCCATGGAGCAGGGCAAAGTGGCGTCCGTCTTCTACACCGTGGTCATCCCCACCCTGAACCCGCTCATCTACAGCCTGCGGAACCGCGATGTGCAGCGAGCCCTGCGGAGCAGCCGGCAGAAGCTCGCGCTGATCGGCGGGGGGTGGGGGCCCCCCGGCCCCGGCCCCCGCCCCCGCGCAGAAGCTGGCGCTGATGGGCGGCTGCTGCGGCTCCCGGTCCTTGGCTCCGGCTCCGGGTTGCGCGGCGCTCGGTGGGCTCCAACCCAGAGACTCAGCACTCCCGGGCCGCTTGGTTTACTAGTCTGCGAACTGGAAGACAGTGTTTAAATGCCTTTACACATTCAGCAATGGGCAAAATCAAAGTTTTTGAGGAATACAATCTTGTAGAGTGAAAAGATGAGTGACGGATGAATGGATCTATTTGGTTATTGTATCTTATATCATCAAAATGTCAGTCCTACCCAAATTAATTTACATATCCAATGTGATTTCGATCCAATTAACCTCGAACATTCTTCACAGAAATAGAAAAACAATTACAAAATCTGTCTGGAATCAAGATGGCCTTGTATTGCCAAGTCAATATGTATCAGAAACATCTTACATATATCATCGTTACCAAACTCCATCAGAAAATAACTGAAGATAATGTACACTCTTACTTAAAAAAATGTTTTGAGTGCCATTCACAGAATAAATATAGATCCTTTGAAAGGAAAAGAAAACAAATTTATTTCAATATTTTACTTACAGTATCTAGAAATAAGTAAATTAGTAACTTACTTTTTATATTAAAAAAGAAATAAATTCAATAAAATTTACTGTTAAACTCTATTTTACATTTTTATGGAGAATATATTGCAGTCTGTTAGTAATCCCCTGTTGGTAAGTATTTGGGCTGTTCCTAGGTTTTAGCTTTTACAAGTAGAATTATTATGAACATTGATTGTGACATAAACTTTTATAAACATGCTTCCCTTGAAGTAAATATCAAAGAAATGGAATTGTCAATCATATGATAAATGCACCACATATTTAATATCCAAAAGACAAACTTTTCCAAAATATTTATACAATTTTAAATTCTTACAATCAGTGTGTTAGTTTCCAATTCTTCACATTTGTTAACATCTGGTATTTTCTGCCTTTTTAACTTTAAATGTTCAAATTAGAATGTGATAATATCTTATTTAATTTGCATTTGCTAAATGACAAATGATACTGAACGTCTTTTCAAGTGATTACTTGGCATTTGTATAATTTTCTTTGCTAGAATATCTCTTTAAATATATTGCTCATTTTTTTCATTAGGTAGTTATTTTACATATTGAGATTTAAGAACTCCTTATGTATTCTAAATATATGTTCATTGTGACATATGATTTCAAATATTTTCTCACAGCATGGCTTGTTTTATCATTCTCTCACAAATGTTCTAAAAGCAAAAGTTTTCATTTTGATTCAAGTACATAAATATGTTCATGTATGGATTGTTCTTCCACTATTTTATTTTAAAAATCTAATACAAATTCATAAGGGTTTTCTTCTACATTTTTAGTGCAGGTTTTTATAATTTTAGGTTTATACTTTGGTCCATGACCATTTTTAATGTTTATATTATGCATGTCATAGATCAAAGTTTTTACACATGAATCTAAATGTTCCAGCACTATTTATTGAAAATATTATTTTTAACTGAATTCTCTTTATAAAATTCTAAAAGCAATGTTAAATTGTGTTATTTATTATTCATTTTTTAAAATTTTTATTTACATTTTTTAATACATTCAATTACATTATTTAGCTTACAAGATGATCATTTCAATATATGAACATTTCTCCCTGGTCGAGTTGATCAAACTATAACACTACCTCCCTGTCTCAACAATGCTGTCTTCGTATCCCTCCTCCAAATGTTCTTCCCCAGGCCCCACTCCTCCACACACCCCGCATCTGGCATTCACATCCACCTCTTCTGTTTGTACATCCTTTAGCCCATCAGTTTCAGTTATAGAGTGCGGACATTCTGTATGTATTAAGTGGGGACGACATACAGTGTCTCTCCTTCATAGCCTGGCTTGCTTCACTCAGCAGTAAATCTTCCATATTCTTCCACTTTCTGTCAAAAGCCAGGGTTTTGTTGTTCTTAATGGCCGAATAGTATTCCATAGAGTATATATGCCACAGTTTTTCAATCCATTCATCCATAAGGGGGCATCTGGGTTGGTTCCATGTCTTAGCAATCGTGAAAAGGGCCACAATAGGGAACCAGCAGTTAGCATAATGGCTATGTCGCTGGACTCCCACGTAGTCAACCGCGGATCGCATCCTGGACCCCGTGGCTTAAAACTCACACCAGGCGCGTGTGCGTGCGTACCCAAGATCTCGAGAGGAGAATGGAGGAGAAGGGATTGCA